ATCTGAAAAAATTTGAATAACACCTAAAAGGAAGGAAGTAAAGGCAATCATATCCAAATGGATGACAATTAAATTCAATGGTAAACTTATAAGGCCAACACAACATAATATTTTTCATAATAGTCTACTGCAGAAACTAAAACACAGTTACACTTATTACCATGTTATAGCAACACATATGCAAATTATAGATGTTTGATATTGTTTACCCGTGAAATGGTACAATTGAATTTATACGTGGTTCTAGACAAGTGAGTTAATTCGATCCTGAAATAATAAAATAATTGAATAAATACGCAATACTTAGCCTTGAATGAAGATAATTCAGGGAGCAGGCTTCTGGGCATAACAACAAGGAAATCAAAGAGTAAGAAGATAAAACTGTGTAAAGCTTTGAATCGATTATAGCATAAGTTTGCCAGAAAAATCGTCATCTTACAATGATAATAGAGCTCACTATTTATAGCTACACCTAGGGAATAAGGTCCTAGGATCAAACCCCTCTTCAATACCAATTATGAGGGCCATTGATATATGTAACGACAACCATATTCTTTTGTAACAGGCATTGTATTAAGTACTATAGAATATTCTCCATTAAATGCTACCGGGTGGCAGGCATTTATTGTATCTTTATGAGCATCATTCTTTCCAGTAACAAATGAAACAGTTATCTTCAGTGTTGTCTATCTCCTGCCTCCGGCTCCACGTATTATTTTCTTGTGCAATTACTTAGCATAACATATTTTACCCTATACAGATAGTTCCCCTGCTTTTCGATGACATATATTTGTATCACCGAAAAGTTGGTAGAAACATTCTTTTTGGTGGGAATTTCTCGACCCCTTCTGAAAAGCTTTTGACGGTTGATTAGACGCACATCTCTCTGCATTTAATGTTCCGAACACGCGTCATCCCATGATTTAACATAATTTTTACCGGATATCGAGACAATTATGACCACAAATTTAGCCGCCTACATCTTCATTCATATGCATCAACTTCCTTCATTATACTTCATAACACTCTAAATTTTCTAAGACTCACTTTACTCGACTCATCTTCCGACTTTAACCTTTCTTTAGCTTAATTCTTTGAGAAAAAGAAAACCCTTCCTCTTGATAAAAATAGCCCCCTCTTCAAGAAAACCTAGTTCTTCAAAGAATAAAGGCAAAGCCGATGATGCCGCTCCTCCTATAGTGAGCACCATTGTTCCAAGGAGCCTGGTTACCACAAAGTATTTCGAAGAAAGGTTTCCTTCTGCTAAACCACACACGTGGGCCATTGGCAGATACTCTTCTTCCATCTATACTTCCAATATTTCTGTTGTGAAGGAAGATTACCGCTGCCAAGATTTGGAAATTATTGCTCGTGATCTATCAGAGTGATTAACCCTACCCAAGGAGGGTTTCATATACTTTTACACTTATTCCTTTACTTTGGGAGCATTTTCTTTGAATGGAGAGCTTGACTCCATTATTGCAAAGTTCTGCATCCGCTACAAGGTGTGTTTGGCACAATTAAGTCCTTCTATGCGGAGGATGATTGCTTGTCTTCAACATTTGTGCCAAGAGAAGGGAGAGGAGCTATCTTTAGCTCATGTGATGAATCTCTATTCCTCCAAAATCTTCCACAGGGGAATGATAAACTTCAGCAAACGTAGCTACCATGCTCTATTATCTAGCATGGATGATGACAACGACGTGGGTGGACATAACGGTTTGTTGCAGTTGCCACTAATGATATCATTCTGGCAACGGCTTCATCCTTTTTGGAATCATGGAACCGCACTCGTAAGCTCCTTGTTTAATATTTTTTTCATTAAATTTTTTATATCCATATTGATCCTCCTTCCTTCACCTGTTTCAGCAACTCGATGGGTTCCACCTAGGATTGAAGGCTTGGACCAGTCGGTCCAGAAAATCTTGGACGTCACTACGCCCGAAACCCGTACGTGGAAAAAACTGGACCTTAAATATGGGTGGAAGGCCAAAAATCATGGTAACTTTGACTCATATCGTTTATGCTTTTTACGTGAGGAAATTGATTGATCCTTTATCCTTTTTTCTAAACTTATGTCTACCCCAGGCTCGGTTTTCATCCATGAGGAGGATGTTTTGGCTAATCCTACTGATGCAACGAAATTGCTTCAGGAGGCGCTTACTTGAACTGATGTCTCCGAACTTGCTTCGGGTACAAGTATTTCATCATGGAGTCCCCGTCCAGAGAATAAGCAACCAAGAAGAAAGCCTTCCTCTGCGGTTGGAGGAAAGAATAAGAGGGCAAATAATGCCGCCCCCGAGTTGTGTCTGGAAGTCGTGGTGATGAGTCCTCCACCTAGGCCGACCATAAACATCGTGATGATTGACGATCATGGAGAAGCTAGTGATGAGGAAGCTTCTCTACATAGAAGACGACAATCCTTATCAACTCAACAGAATGCTCAACATGTTGAGTTAGTTACACTAACCGAAGATGAAGTCTCGGAGCTTTGGGGGGAGTTTGAGATGGTAGAAAATGCCAACTCCCGCTGTCCGATCCTAGTCACTATGTTCGGTACTATGAGGCTGGGTACCTGGCCCCTGCCATCTTCGGCTGATGAGCAACCAACAACTAGCACTGCTTTTGCCGCAACTATTTATCGCCCTTCAATGCCACCAACTTCATCACCTTCTTCACCCATTCTTCCATCAGCAACTTCTATATCATTTCCACCGGCCGCATCCATTCTAGAAGAGGATGTTCCCCTTACTAGTCCCCAGTTTATGGGAATTTAGGGCAAAATTATTCTGCCCCCTTAGAAGATCTGCAAAGAAAGAGGAACATTACTATATTGGCCTCCACCGGATCCAACCTGCTGTCCAAACTGGTGGAACTTGCTAACTATCTGTAGCCTTTGACTTCAGAAAAAGATTAGGACAAAATACAAGCTCTCTCGGGAGAGTTCTTGTTGAATAATTCCATGCACAACGCTGCAATGGTATATTCTTCTTTTCCTTTGTCATTTCTTCTATCTTCCATTTAGTATTACTTTTGAATTTGCCTTTCTTGTTTCGTAGGCTAATTTTCTTGATTCCAAGGGCCTTCAGAGGTTGATTTAGGAAAATGAGGAGCTTGCCTCCGAGCGGGATCAATTTTTGGTCGAGTGGGACCAAATCGCTGCTCGCCTTTCAGAACTGGAAACCAAAGCTGATGAGGCCGTTGCATTGGAGGCTCGTTTGCAGCAAAGCAAGCAAGAAGTGGAGACCCCTTGCCATGAGATCGCTCCACCGAGGGTTCAATTTGAAGAGCCTAGGACCAAATGGGCTGAAGTCCATAGTGCTATTCTTTCTGCATCTGATCTCGAGGCTGCCTTCGCTGAAATGACAAATTTAGAGGCATCCCTGAACTCCAAAACTAAAGAGCTTATTGTTGTAGGGGTGAAATATGCCTAGTTGGAGGAGAAGTATAAGAAAACATTGAGCATAATAGAATTTTCAGCTCTATTGTCTGCGAACTTGACGTTAGCCTCAAGTCCATTAGATTGGGGAAAACCTTTCTGCTGAAGTTAACCAACTTAAAGAAGAACTCAAGCGCCAAGCGACTTCCCTCATTGTTGAGAAAACTTATGTTATGTACATCATGAGGAGAAAAACCTTGGAAAATGCTAGAACGAATATCATTGACTTCGATGCCGAAATTGCTAAAGCCCATGAGATTGAGTCAACTACTAAAGGGGGTCTCCTGGCAGGGCTTGATGCTTTCGGTTCTTCTGGTTCTAGTTCCAAAACCTAGGGAACTGAAGAGGAACTGAAAGGTGAAGATGTCGAAGACCAAACTGATGAGGGCCAAGATATTGGGCCAAGATATTGGGCCACCGGCGGATCTACCCACTTCCCCTAAGGGCACGAACATTTATCTTCCTCCGGGTTCCAGAGATGTAGTAGTTTAGCTTTTCCTTTTTTTGTTCCAACTTTTTGTATATTTGCCACTTTGGTACATTTATTGTGAATAAAGACACATTTTCCTCAAGTATTGCATGGTTCTATCTTTCGTTTGGACATCTATGCAAGTTTTAATCTTTGTATTCTACTTTGCTTAAGTGTTCTGTGCAAGTTTTACTGTTTGCGTCTTATTGTGTAAGGCCTTGGGTGTATTTTCCACAGAAGGAATTTGGATTTTGGGCACACGTTCTTCCGAAATCAACCCTTTATTGTGAGGGTTTTTATAAGAGAGGGCTCTCTTATGTTTACGGTGCTCTTAAAGAGGACGTCTCCTGTTCATTACGACACTAGAATTCGAAGTACTTATTTAACTTTTAAATGATAAAATCAATTCATCGTTATGACTTTCAAATGATAAAATCAAAAAGACTTTACTTTATTCCTTCCATTTTAAAAAAGTAGATAAACATTCGTTATGCTAGAAATAAATTGCCATTTCTTGTGGCTAACTTGTACAACTTGCTTCTACGGGATTGGCTACACAGTCCCCAGTCCCGATGATACAACTATGTTTTCGATTTTCATTTCCCGGTCGACATGGTAGTCATTGTTGTTGAATCCTCATATTATTCCCCCTAGTGTTTGAATTCAAAGAATGCAAATTGGAACACTGAAAGTTTTGCACCTTCGAGGACCCCACTAATAAATTGCTAGACAATCTTTAGCTCGGTAAAAACTTTACTTCCCCTTAGGAATTTATGCTATCGAGAAAAAGACTATCTAACAATCCTCTAGTGGTTTGCACTTGTGAATGGTCGGGCAACCTTTGCTTGATAGCAAACTCACTTTTCTGGTGGAAGTTTTGCTATCGAGCCAAAGATTATCTAACTGCTACGGAGTGGTTCTTCGCTTGTATGCCTTGCTATTAAAGGTCTTATTGATGTTGTCGAAACTTTCTTCATAGTATGCTTTCCATTGCCGCCTCATTAAAAACCTTTCTAGAAAAACTCAATTGGGACAAAAATTGGATGAAGGGAAAAAGAGTGCAGCACATACTTTAAGTACATGTGATGTTTGTCAGAAATAATATCTCTTGAGGTGTGCCACATTCCAGTTGCATGGCAACTTTTCTCTATCCTGATTCTCCAACTCGTATGAACCCTTTTCGGTGACAGCTGAAACCCAGTAAGGGTCTTCCCAGGTTGGACCTAGCTTCCCTGCATTGAGTTCCCGAGTGTTTTGAGTTACTTTCCTTAGAACCAAGTCTCCCACTTTGAAATAACGGAGGTTGGCTCTTCGATTATAATATATTTTCATTCTTTTCTTCTGGGTTTCCATTCTTATATATACCAAGTCCCTGCGTTCATCGATTAACTCCAAGTTGACTAACATTGCCTCGTTGTTTTCCTCTTCACTTGCCTGGAAACATCTCAAGGTAGGCTCCCCTACTTCTACCGGGATTAAGGCTTCTTCTCCATACACAAGGGAAAAAAGGAGTTTCTCCTCTGCTCGATTTGGTCATTGTTCGGTACGCCCATAGAACTCCAGGCAGTTCCTCAGGCCATTTACCTTTAGTCGCTTCCAAACTCTTCTTGAGATTTTGTGTAATCGCTTTGTTCGTTGATTTCGCTTGACCATTTGCGCTCGGATGATAGGGCAAATACGTGATTCTATTGATTTTTAGATCTTCAAGGAACTTTGTGATCTTTGCACCTATAAATTGTGGCCCGTTATTGCAGGCTATCTCTTTTGGTATTCCAAACCTGCAAATTATATTCTCCCATAAGAAATCCACCACTTTACGCTCATCAATCTTTTGATAAGGACCTGCTTCAACCCACAGTGGTGCACAACTTTGGCACTTATCGCATTTTGCATGAAAGCTTTGGCATCTTGTTCCATTAGGGGCCAATAATATCTTGCCCTTACCAGTTCCAGTACTAAGGAATCAGCGCCCGAATGATTTCCACATACCCCTTCGTGGACTTCTCGCATAACATAATTAGCTTTGGATGCTACCAAGCATCGGGCCAATGGGCCTTGGAAAGATTTCCTGTATAGTTGGCCTCTTTTGAAGCTATATCGTGCTGCTTTGGCCTGCAGCGCCCTGGATGCCTTGGAGTCTTCGAGAAACTTCCCTTGCTCGAGATAGTTAATGATCTCATTCCTCCATTCCCAGCCCAAATTAGTCATATTTACCTCATAATAGCTATTTACCTCCAGGACCGAGTGCATGAGTTGTACCACCGTCTCGGAATTCGATCCTTTCATTTCCGTTGATGAACCAAGGTTAGCTAATGCATCTGCTTGTGCATTTTCTTCCCTCAGGATATGAGTAATTGACCATTCCCAAAATCGAGCAAGTAGAGCCTGGACTTTTACTACGTATTGTTGCATGCGCTGTTCTTTGGTTTTGAAGATCCCGCAGACCTGATTTACCACCAATTGGGAGTCACATTTGATTTCTATGACCTCAGAATCCAATCCTCAGGCCAATTCGAGTCATGCAATCAGAGCTTCATACTCTGCTTCATTGTTAGTTAAAGGGAATATTCTGATTGGCCTGCCTTAGGCTTTCTCCCGAAGGCGTAGTTAATATTATGCCAAGCCCGGGCCCCTTTACGTTGTAAGATCCATCTGTAAATAAGGCCCAAACTGGTGATGTCGATTCTGACACCATCACTGCTTCTTTGGTTGCTAGAGTCAACAATCTCAGACTGAAGTTGGCCACAAAGTCGGCCAAAACATGTGACTTAATCTCAGTCCTCGATTTATATACTCTGTCAAATTCACTCATTTCGACGGCCCATTTGGCCAATCTACCCAAGAGTTCGGGTATGTGGAGGATGTTCCACAGGGGAAAGGTAGTCACCACAACTATCGGGTGACATTGGAGGTAAGGCCTCAGCTTTCGAGCGGTGACTACGAGAGCTAAGGCCAGCTTCTCCAAATGCGGGTATCGAGTTTCTGCTCCTGTTAAAATTCTACTAACGTAATAAATTGGAAATTGTGTACCTTCATCCTCATGGACTAAAACGGAGCTTACCACTACCTCCAAGACTGCAAGGTTAATAATGTTTCACCTTCCTCCGGTTTTAATAGTAATGAAGGGCTTAACAAGCACCTTTTAAAATCTCTCAAAGCCTGCTGGTATTCTAGGGTCCATTTGAAGTTGTTTTTCTTTTTTGATAAGTGTGAAGAAATGGTGGCATTTCTCAAATAACCGGGAAATAAACCTGCTCTAAGCAGCCAATCTCCTTGTGAGCCTTTGAACTTCTTTATCACTTGATAGCTGGTCTGGGATGTCTTCGATGACTTTGATCTTATTGGGGTTTGCCTCAATCCTCCTTTGCGATACCATAAATCCTAGGAACTTGCCAGAGCTAACCCCAAACACGCATTTATTTGGGTTAAACAACATGTTATGCTTCCTTAGGATGTCAAAAGTTTCTTGAAAATGCTTAAGATGATCACCTGCATTCAAAGACTTAACGAGAATATCATCTATATAAACTTCCATAGTTTTCCCTATTTGTTTTTCAAACATCTTGTTTATGAGCCATTGATAAGTGGCTCCAGCGTAGAAGGGCATCACATTATAACAATATGTGCCGAAGTTCATGATGAAGAAAGTCCTTTCCTGATCCTTCGGGTTCATCTTAATTTGGTTGTACTCAGAATAAGCATTGAGGAAACTCATTAAATCATACTCGGCCGTTGGATCGATCATTTAATAGATGTTTGGAAATAGGAATGAGTCTTTTGGGCACGCCTTATTCAAGTCCTTATAATCAACACACATGCAGAATTTATTGTTCTTCTTAGGAACTACTACTACATTAGCTAGCTAGTCTGGATACTTTACCTCTCTGATTAAACCGATTTCAAGTAGGCGGGTTACCTCTTCTTTGATGAATTTATTCATGGCCTCCGCAATAGGGCGTTTCATTTGTCTTACCGGAGGAATGTTGGCATCCAAGCTTAGCTTATGTATGACCACTTCTGTTGGGATACCTATCATATCCACATGCAACCACGCAAAAAATAGGCATTATATTTAAGAAATTCAATAAATCTAGAACTCAGCTCGGGGTGCAGTCCTATCCCCAAGTGGAATTTCCTCTCCAAGAACTTTTCAAACAATACAACTTGCTCGAGCTCTTCCGCTGTGGATTTTGTTGCATCCGTCTCTTCAGGTACCTGGAAATATCTCGTCACCTGATAGGATTCAGATGCTTCTCCCTCTTGGCTAACTTCACCTGATTCAGGAGCAGGCGCCGGTTCCTGTAATTGCTATGCCGCATGCTCCTTCCCAATCCTATTGGAAACTGAAATCACATTCATCTCCCTTGCCGCCAATTGGTTGCCTCTTTTCTGTTTGATTTCGTCGGGTATTAGGAATTTCAGCAACTGATGATACGTTAACAGTATGACTCTTATATCATGAAACCCCAGTCTTCCTAGAATAATATTGTAACCCATATCAACATCCACCACTTCAAAAAGAGTCGTCTCCATCACCCCTTCAGCGTTCGTGGGTAGCAGGATCTCTCATCGGGTTGTCACATTTGCAAGGTTGAATCCAGCGAGGAGTTTTGTGTCTGGAATGATGCTTCTAGTGAGTTTGACTTGCTCCAATACCCTCTATTGTATGATATTAGCTAAACTTCCTAGATCCACTAGAACACGTTTGATTTTAAAATCTAGTACATTTAAATAAATTACCAGTGCGTTGTTGTACGGTAGCAACATCCCATATGCATCCTCCTTCGTGACAGTGATGTCGTCTTTAGCGACTTCCCTGAGTCTCTTGCTATGGGTTATTGATACCTTCGTCTATTTTTTCTATCGAGAAGGTGGACTCGTTGATCTCGTTCCCCCCAAAGATCATGTTGATCATCTGGCGCGGGGAGTCTTCTCCTGCTTTCGAGGGCTCAAAGTTATCACGGTTGAGACCATAATTGTTCTTGGCCTGGTTACTCAAGAATTATATGAGATGACCATTTTTCAGAAGTGTCGCCACCTCTTCACGCAGATGTTAGTCGTCCCCAGTCCGGTGGCCAATTATCCCGTGGTACTTGCACCACAAATTGGGATCCCTCTAGCTGGGATCAGACCACATCGGCTTCAAGAACCGTGCTTCTTTAATGTTTCTCATAGCTGATACCAACTCCACTACACTAACATTGAAATTGTATTATGATAGCCTAGGGTAGGAAAGATCCCATGTACCTGACGTTTCTTTGTCCTGCAAGGATTTGTTGTTCCGACCATGATCAGTCTTCTATCGGTAACAAACTTGTCCGTCGATTGGAAACCTTTGCCGCGTCTATCGACCCATTCATAGGGCAAAATAGGCCCCTCGAAGACCATCTATCTGTGTCGAAATCGTCTTTTGATTTTTCTTTATTCTTCTCTGGACCTTTTGTCCACGACGGGAAGCCAACCTAATCATCTTCAATCCTTATCTTAGACTCGTACTGGTTGTAGACATCTGCCCAAGTGATCACTTGGAACTCCAGCAAGCTTTCCTTCAATTTTTTTGGAAGCATCAAAACTTCTCGAATTTAGACCCTTGGTGAACGCTGAATGCTTCAGCCGCGCATTCATCCGAGATAGCTAGGAGAAACATCCTCTCTTTTTGGAATCGGGTGACGAATTCCCACAATAACTCAGACTCTCCTTCTATAATTCTGAATATGTCAGCCTTTCGGGCCTGCACCTTTCTGGACTTGGCATGGGCCTTAATAAAAGAGTCTGCGAGCATCTCAAAGGATTCTATTGAATGCTCAGGTAACAACGAATACCACGTCAAGGCCCCTTCTTGAGAGTCACTTCGAATTCTTCAGCAAAAAAGATTCAATCTCGTGGGGAGCAAAATTATTCCCCTTCACCGCCATTTTATAGGTGGTAATATGCTCCTGAGGGTCTAAAGTTCCATCATACTTCTGCACGTCGGGCATTTTTAACCATTTCGGCATTAATTCTAGTGCCGTGCATGGTTTGTGCAGCAACTGAGTATACTTCTTTGAGTCTGGTCATTTCAGCATTGGAGGTGCACTCGAGATTTAGTCCATGGGGGCATTCACTTCCCTCATAATTCAGGTGCCACGCTTGGTTTGTACGACAGCTGAGCATACTTCTTTGAGTCCGGTCCTTTCAGCACCGGTGGTGCACCTGGGATTTGGTCCATGCGAGCACTCACATCCCTTATAAACCGTAAGAGCTTGTCACGACCCAAATCGACAGGCCGCGATGGGCACCCTATACCTTATTCGACCGAGTACCAACGTAACGTATCTTCCTTATTATATCATCATATACACGTGACATACGGGACTAATAGGCCAACATAATCATTTATAAATTCAAAACATAGGCAGACAAGGCTGTATAATCTTTCATGTATACGACATATGTCTACAAGTCTCTAAGAGTACATAAATGTCATAAAGGTCGGGATAGAGTCCCGCCATACCAAATAATACACGTCTAAATCATACTAAACAAACAAGCAACACCGAAGCTAATGGAGCACACCAACATCTTCCGCTGAGCTAAAAGCCTACTTGGAGGGCTCTCGACCTGTTTATCGGGACCTGCAGGCATAAAACGCGGCGTCCCCAGGAAAAAGGAACGTCAGTACAAATAATGTACCGAGTATGTAAGACACATAAATAAGTACATAAGAGACATGTAAGAATTATAGAAACATGACTCAACTTGTAAGTCTGAATAACTTTGTAAATTATAAATTACTTTTAGCGTCATGCATATGCGTATGAATGTCATGTCGTGCATAGGTACATGTTTCATAACATCATCAGCCTCTGAGGGCATCCTATCATATCATATCGGTCACTGTGGGCAAAATCATCATCGTATACCAGCTGATCAGGTGGTGGTGCGTATGTAACGCCATAACCTTTCCCATTTCCCATATACATATATATACATATATATATATATACGCGTATATAATGCCGTTTGAATCATATTTCAACCACTGTGGCAACATCATCAACATATACAAGCTAATCATGTGGTGGTGTGTATATAACGTCGTAACCTTTTCCCATATCCCATATACATATATTTACATATATACGCATATAAAACGCCGTTTGAATCATATTTAAGCCACTGTGGGCAACATCATCAACATATATCAGCTAATCCGATGGTGGTGCGTATATAACGCCGTAACCTTTTCCCATATCCCATATACATATATTTACATATATACGCGTATATACCGCTATTTGGTCATGGGTCAATGCACATGTATAAATGAGTGAAATGCATGAAAAGTACATAATAATCTCGATATTCCTTTCGGATAAACTTTTCCAACTGCGTATTATTCTGAGACCCATGGATAGAAGATAATAATAATTCTCATGGGGAATCAAGAATATTGACACCCCTATTATTTCTATGAATAGAGTAATTTATAGAAGTTGTGTATTTGCTCGTTTCTTCAGTATAATTTGGACCATGCCAAAAGAAAGAAGGGATAACCTTAACATACCTGATCCCGGAATTATTTGAACGAATCTGCTTTGAACGTTTTTGAACTGATGAATGGATTTATTATAAGACTTGTTCCAACGTTTCTTGGTTTGAAATTATAAAAAGGAAACGTTTCTGATTTATTTAAAACTTTGGAAGNCTTTAAAACTTTGGAAGGAATACGTTTGGTTCCTGAGAATTCTGGAGAGGAGTACGTTTCTTTGTTCCTGACAATTATTGTTTTCTTTTTCAAGTTTTAAGTTATATTAGTCCTTCTTGATAAGGACATGATTCAGCAAGCTGTTCAGTATATCTTGTGAGACATACAAACAAAACAACTTAAGGAAGAAGGTCAAATAAGAAGCTGGTGACAGTTATCTTGTGAAAAAGAAAACAAGA